GGCGCCGGAGTGAAGGACATCTGGGAAGATCGCGTCCTGGGTGCACCGGGCATGTGCAGAGAAACACACGGAGTAGAGGTGGTGGGAGAGTTAGCAGCGCGCTGTATACTTACCTCGGACTTGTGAGCGTCAGCCTGGGATGTTTCCAGCGCGGCTCTCCGCTCTCTCAGCTGGGTCTGCTTTGCCACCAGGTCCCGGATCTGCTTCTCCACGGCCTCCAGCTCGACCTGCACCGAATGCAGCTCGAACGTGTCCTCACCTGCACTCAAAGGTAGACACACATCCGCCATTAAAGCAAGTAACAGTGAGTAAAACAATGGTAATGTGTGTGAATAGAGTATTAGTGTAAGCGAGATTAGCGGCTACCACGCTGGCGATGCTAGCGGGCTATATGCTAATAGCGGACTCAGAAAGTCAAAAATAGAACTAGTGCTAACAAGGCGCTCTGATTGTTTTTGTTGTAGAATACGATAGGGGATATATTCACACGTTATAGAACTGAAAAGGATGGTGTATAAAATTGATTTTAAAATTAGACGACAAAGAATTAACTTGACGGAGCTCAAACTCAAAACACATGGCAGCAACAAACAGGAAGTGACGTCAAACAGGAACTCAGAATTACAAGAAAAAATGGAGTGTAGTGAACATTAAAACTGATCATGAGTTAGTGACAACTAGGATCTGATGAAGACAACAGATTCCCCTTCAGGAACTCGAGCTGCGTCGAATGCTTTGGGAACGCCTTCAGCTTGAACACGCTCTGAATCGTGTGTGTAATCAGACCAATAGATGGACGCGACATCACAGACGTGCGGTGGAGACAGCGGCAGCTTCCGTCATTCAGCGATGCACTCTGTGTATGTCTTATTTACCGTTGTCTGTCACTGTCTCAAACGAGAAAGCTAAAATGCCAAAGTCTAAGCACAAGACTGATAAAGGGGGTGATAAAGGCAAGCAACATTTTAGGCGGGGATGTTTGTCTGCTTTGTGTTGTTTGTCTGGGAGCGAAGCATGCCGAGTCAGCTCTCGAGGGGGCTGACTGTCCGCACTGTGAGCACCTCTCGCGGTTCGCTCCCGGAAGGCTCTCTTCTAGGAGGGAGCCCTCGCCAGCCCTCCCCGCGGCTCTGGTCCCGCATCTGTCGAGGCAGTGTGGCGATTGCAGTCGTGGGGTTCGCAAATGGATCTGGTGGAGGGGATGGAGATGGGCGAGCCCCTTTCTTCTCCCTCAGACACCAGATTCAGCGCCACCTCCCAGGGTTCGGAAGCACGCTCTGAGGAAGCGGTTTCTTCCCCCTGGGGAGAGAGCTCGGTGCTTAAACTGTCGTCCTCCGAGGAGGGCGATGGCGAGAGTGCCGACGACCCACCCCAGTCTGCACAGTACAAGGAGCTTGTGGAGGTGATAACTCACGCTGTGGCCAAGTTAAATCTTGAATGGCCCT